TGGCATACCGTTTGGCTCCTATACTTTCTATAGCAAAGTGTCAGCTTCTATATTCCAGATCGTCTTTAATTAATGGCTTCCTTCTAATTGAACAAAATCATCGTCTTTGCCGTCGACATTGTCATCGCTGCGAGAGAGCTGAATTTTAAAGTGATGCATGGGTTTATCTTCAAGATGACTACATAGCTTTCCATACTGCGATTTTCGGGTTTCGGGTGGAATTAAAGTACCTGGAAAGAAGTAAAAAAAATCTCTTGGTTAAATTGTTTCAAAATAATTGTATAATAAGCAATGGCAGTGACAGAGACAAAAAATAAATAGGACCCAAATTGTTCTACTCTCTAGTTAACAATCTAATTCGCTTATCGCCTTATGATATAATCCTACCATGGAGACATTATTTACAAGGAATGTAGCATGACGTACACTCATAAATTCATTCAACGCGTCTCACTCTTAAGGTCAATCCATAATTTCCCCCTTTCACCACCGAAAAGCACCAAATACCACGCTATGAGGCCATAGCTTCCATAAGGACAAAAGTGGCATTATCATAATTTCTAATATCAGGCATTTTTTATCGATCTAACCGTAAGCTTCCACACTGCTACACCAAGCCAGAAGCTTATCGCTGCATTGCAACGGCGATATCAGACCAACACAGGTAGGTAGGTACCTACTTGATGTCGACTAACGATTATGACTTTCTCCCTGCGTGGCAGAACAATTTGCCCTCCGGTAACTTGCATCTTCACCTCTTGAGTTCCCCTTGCGTTAAAAGCGTTACCGTTTAATGACCTGAGTTATTGAGCAGTTAATTAATTTGTTTGGTTTTAAGGAGATTATGGGTATCTCGGTTGAATGCGTTATGGATATTGGTATTTAATATTTTGCTCGTTGAAGGAGAAGGTTATATGGCAAACACATGCAAGTGGACCTTTTCTCCTGAACAAACACGAATAATGGGAGAGATGGGGATTAAGAGCTTCACAACAGCTAATAATTATGTTATGGTTGGATGGAATTATATAAGCAAATCGGATAGGGTAGATCCAATGTAGGAATTTGAACAGCTCCTTCTTACATCCTTTCAAGGCCACTGCATTGTTTATTTGATTGAATTTCCTCCTCAACTACCAGATACGATATCATTAGGAGAACGTCCATCACAAAATTTCGCAGAAAATCCGTCAAACATTGATTCCTCCTCCCTTTTCCCAGCGCAATAGGTCCAAATGTTTCTATTTTTGGAAGGATATTTTCAGCTTCAAATGTTTTCTCTTTCTCCACCATCGATCCATAGTCAGTGGCGAATGGCGAAAGCGATGGTAATTTTAGATTTACCGCATCGTGTGAAGTGAATCCTTGCATGAGCGGGAAAATCGAAAATGGTTCGTTGAGCTTTAATCCAAAAATATAAATTTGCGAGAAACGTTATTTTGAGATTGTTTTGATGTGGGCCTCGTATTGATGCACATACATAAGGGGCTGTTCATAAACTAGGTACATATACTGATTTTGAGAGGTTTTAGACTTTCGGTCATTATTTTTAACTTAGTTCAAATCGTAGAAACTGAAAACCCTCTCCCTTTAGTGAGACTCACTGAACAGTCTGTAACTGGCAATCAACGCGCGTAAAAGGAGCGTCTAAGGGACCCAAGAATTATGGAAATTAAACGGACCTACCTCTCTTACCTGTATGACCAGCCTTAATCCACATGTATTCGCGGAATCACCAATGCAAAATTCTTCTGCATGAAATTTTCCTGGACGTTCATGGAGAACTTAGAATTACACGGAACAATGCCTTGGCAGACCGACAATCCTACCGTGCATTCCTGTCCAGTGAATGCACGCAACGGCTACAATCTACTAGGGAAGCCGCCCTCAAATTTAGAATCCTGTACATTTTCAACGTCGCTGACGCACCTTGAGGAAGACTCATTATTTCTATATAACGAGCAAACTAAGGTAAGTCTTAATAATCTTCCAAAAATTTCTTCATTTTCTTAAAAAAAAAAATGCGACTGAAATTAAAGTTTACTGTCAAAATTTCAATCGCATGAATCCTTAATTGCAACGATTAATTCCCTTTATAATTAGATAAGTTTTAGTTTTAGTTTTTAGTTTTTGATTTCAATTGTTATACTGACATGCAGGTATAGAAAACCAGTTTAAAAACTGAATTGCCAAGGCAGGAACAATGTAAAAGCACTTAGATATATCTTATAACAATTGGGACTGGTAAGTTACTGTAGTAGATGGTGCACCTAGGATTAAAATTAAATGTAATTTATTTTGAATTTGAAACAAATAAAGAGTTGAAAAAATATCTAAGGAATGCTTACAAAATCGTGTAAGTTAATATATGACAATATTAATGCTTAAATTACACCAATTACAGAATTCATTAAAAAAAAATATTGCTGCAGTTTCACTAGTGGTGCCGACAACGAAAGTAAAAACGATGCCCTACGTGACATCCGTTTATTTTCCTGGTGATATTGAAGATGTACCTCCTCCAGAAAATGCAGCTTCGTCTCTCACTGCAGAATCCAAAGTAAGGCTTTTCTCAACGGATGTGATTCAAACGCTGAGAGTGTGAGTGTCTATTTGATTTCATTTCACAACATAATATAGACCTTGTTACATATGTCTATAACTGGGAACTTCCCAACATTCGTTAATGCGGTAAGGGAAGAAGTTTTGGACCTTACTCTTTGTAGTTCAATACTTGCTGATCGAATAGTAAATTGTCATGTATCAGACGAAATTTCTCTACCTGATCATTAACAAATTATGTTTGAATTTAAGGCTAATGATATACTGAAGGAGGTTTATAAAGATCCTCGTAAAACAAATTGGGAACTATATAGCTCAAATATGAAGAGTCAGACCCATTTTCAACAAAATTAATACCATTTCAAAGCTAGAAAAGTTGTTAATGACTTGATAACTAATATGAATTAGGCTTACAATGCCAGTTGTCCTAAAAAGGAGCGATCGACTAATCGAGATGTTTCCTGGTGGAATGATAGATTAGAAAAACCACGGAAAAAAGCAAGTTGCTAATTTACGTGAAAAGGAAGTTTACATGTATGAATGTTTGCATGCATGGATGTTTACATCGCCAGTAAAATTCAGAATGTTTTGGTGTGTAGTGTTAAAAATTCATAAAAACGGACGTAAATCCTTAAAACTAAGAGATAGCGATTTTATTTATTCTGCAAATGTGCATTTTAAAAATACTTTCAACTTCGTAGAACATTGAAAAAACTATAAATTCAAACAAAAAATTTATGATAATAAAACGTTTATAAGTAGGTTCTACCGTTTGTACTTCATTTTCTTCTTATAACATCGTCTACTTGAGTGATAGAAAATTTTCGTATTCGACAAAGTTTTTTAAAATGATTTCATCTACAATGATTCTATAGATGTTCATCAGTTTTAACAAAATACATTCCTCCCCTCGGAGACGGTTGCGTCTTCTTCCTGTTCGCAGATGATACCACGATATCAGTCAAGGGCAGAATGCCTCGTGAAATTACAAACAAACTACAACGATGCCTTGACACCTTTGCTGACTATGCAAAAACTTGGAATATCAAAATCATTGCCTCCAAAACCCAAACTATCATGTTCCTACACAGATCCGGCGCCGGTGGTGTAGTGGTAAGCGGGACTGCTTTCTAACATCCCAATGGGTTTGGGTTCAATCCCGGCCGAGGTCGGTGGGATTTTTCTGAGGCATAAAAATCTCTGGTCACGTCTTCCTTCGGAAGGGAAGTAAAGCCGTTGGTCCCGGACCATGATGTGTGTGTTGAATGGGTGCGATATCCTACGCAGGTGTGGAAGCTGCCTTCCTGCACATTCGGTTGCCGTCAATGGATGGCAATCGATGTCCGTCGGTGATTGGCACTAGATTGCGGAACAGAGACCGACGTTAAATAAAGGAAAAGAAGATGTTCCTACACAAGCAATCGCCCAAACTGATGTGGTAGAAAGTCTCTTTTCTCTTTTCCTTTATTTAACGTCGGTCTCTGTTCCGCAATCTAAGGCCAATCACCGACGGACATCGATTGCCATCCATTGACAGCAATCGAATGTGCAGGAAGGCAGCTTCCACACCTGCGTAGGATATCGCACCCATTCAACACACATACATGGGGCGAGACCAACGGCTTTACTTCCCTTCCGAAGGAAGACGTGACCAGAGATTTTTATGCCTCAGAAAAATCCCACCGACCTCGGCTGGGATTGAACCCAAACCCATTGGGGTGAGACGTGGTAGAAAGTCTGTTTATATATATATCGGCATTGACGGCGGTGGACTTCCGGCGGACTGACTAGACTGTCATTTTAAACAGTCTCCAGAGAAAGAGACTGTCCACCAAATGGACAGTTAGATAGGGAACCTAAACGGTATCAAACAGGGACTACCCAGAGGGATCCCTAACAAGAGCGTAGAGGCTATAAGTACTTGTACTGAATAGACTTCAGAACACAACTGCTTTAGTAATCAATTTCGTTGGCCTTAAATAGGTTGCCCTATGTTGCGCTACATTGTGCATTTGCACGGGTTCTAATGGGGAGACTTCTGGAGTGACTTATGCTGAAGTCAGCGGGACAAAATAATCAATACTTCGCGTATAGAACTTTGTACTCAGCGATCGATTGAACTGCAGTGCACTTGCCGTGGCGTGGTGCCTCGATACAGCGTATCGGTCACGTAAGCATAAAATTATATGCGCACCGTATTTAATTTAACAAAGAATGGGCACATCTTTTATTTCGTGCACCACACTGATACAGGCACCTCCTTGCACTGTAGTCATGGACGGCACAAGGGTTGAGTGGTCTGCTGAAGTTACGTACCTTGTAATGGTATTCGATGAGAAGCTCCTGTTCCGCTCGCATATAGAAAAGACGTTAGTTAAGTGTTCAAGCTTAGTTAGGTGTTTGTATCCGCTGATTTCTCGCAGATCCCACCTCTCTAGGGTTAACAAACTGGCTGTCTACGATCAAATCATAGCACCTGAAATTTTCTACGCTGCACCGGTGCGGGAATCAAGTACTTAAACTCACAGGAACAAAGTCCAGGTGGCACAAAACATAGTGCTTAGGATGGATCCTCGATCGTCCTTTCGACACTAGAATAATAAATTTAAACGAAGAGGCAGGTATTTCCACAGTAGATTTAAGAATTAACGACATTAAGACTAAATTTGCACATAAAGGTAATATATCAGAACATGCTTTGATAAGCAATTAGTATATAGTAGGTTAGGTGTTTATAGTAGTTGTAGGTTAGTTGTAGTTGTAAATAGTAGTTATAAGTAGTCTCATTTTTCCAATTTAAAAAAAAACCAATCCCACTTATACTTTAAATAGTCTTGCTTTAAAATAGACCTGATAGGACTAGGAACTTTAAATAATAATTAAAAATTTCAAATGAACTAAAGTTGAAAAGACGCATCTGATTCATTTGATAATTCATACACACTTAAAAATTATTCTCGAGCTCGGCAATACATATTACCGAGCCAACACGGTATCATCATAATTAACTGAGAATTCAGCAAAAAAAAACAGTTTAAGCCGAGATTCAGCACCACTGTAGACTGAAATCTCGGCTTGTTTCATATTTTTCCGGAATTCGGCAACACTGGATGCCGAGCGCAAACGTAAACAATGATTTCACTGATCTCGGTAATGTGATATGCCGAGATTTCGTTTTGGCAGCGCTTGTTTACCGACATTCGGCATTTCAGCTTTCATCCGCCATTTTCATAGCGCTAGTAAAAATTTGAGTGTTTGGAAGCTTTGTTAAAAACTGTGTATAGTGTATGTTGTATACAGGAAGAACCTAGAATTATGGAACCGATCCTTGGAGTACTCCAGCAGGAAGATGTAAGACTGTTCGAAATCTTCGGTAAGTATAATTTAATTACATATTTGCATATTTCGTTTCAGCCAATTACATCTAGCTTAACCTGCTTTTTCTGCTATGAAAAAGTTGTGGGTTATGTCGATGAGCTTCAGCGGCATATTAATAATCATATCCGGAACAAACAATTTGCCCCGGATGCAGTGTTTTATGATTGTCTGGTTCCTAAATGTAGGTCCAGATATGATCATTTTAAGTCATTAAAAAGGCATATTATGCAGCAACATCCTTGTTCACCTTTCCTTCAATCACTGGAAGGAGAAATTAATTTGAATGAGTTGCGGGAACCTAACCTCAAAATGCCTAAAATTGATAGTAGCCCTATCCAACCGGATGAAATTGATGAAATAATCTCAAATGATACTCTTTCCTTGGAGCAAATCAAAAAAGCTATTGCACTTGGTATTTGTCGGTTAACATCAGATGTTTCGTTACCACAATCAAAAATTGCAGAAATGATCAAGCTATGCGAAACTTTGGTTAAAATGCTTGGAGACTATTTTCAAGAAAAATCAAAAAATTTTTTGAACGGCCGCGACATTAACCTGGATTCTCCATTTCATTTCTTAATCAGTTTCATTTGCCGGATTTGTTCACTGACGTGTCAACCCTATCAAAGCAAACCAAGTTTTTGAATGTTTTAGCTGAAGGCATTCCAAACCCGTCAGAAAAGATGCTTCAAACACGAGATGACATCCGGCATACTGATGGCACTTCCAAAAAAGTTAAAGTCAATGAGACTTTCATGTATACACCAATTATTGAAACATTGAGACTGATTTTCAGAAACCCTCAAAACAGAGATCTTTTAAACGACGCTGAACCAGAAAACGCAACGATCAAAGAGTATACAAGCTTTCGATCTGGGGAGACATACAAAAACAGTAAATATTTCAAAAAATTCCCTGATACTGTACGTCTGAGTCTGTACCAAGACGACGTAGAGTTGGGAAATGCGTTAAGTTCAAGAGCTGGAATAAACAAAGTGTCTGTTATTGATTTCAAAATTCAAAATTTCCCCGACAAATGGAATAGTTCTCCGAAAACCGTTTTTCCACTTATGTATTGTACCTCTATAGATGCTAAGAAGCACGGATATAACAAAATCCTCAAACCTCTGATAAGTGACCTCAAAAAGCTGGAAGAAGGAGTGACAGTTTGCTACGGAACGGAAAAATTCACACTCCGTGCAGTAGTAACCATATTTTGTGGCGATACGTTGGCTGTGCATGAGGTTTTTGGTCTTCTCGGACCTATGGCGACATATTTTTGCAGACTTTGCACAATACAAAGACCAGCTTTTCACCAGAACCCGTTTGAACATTTCCCCCTACGAACAAAGGAGTGGTATGAACAGAACTTGAGTAAAGTTGTGTCTGGAGAAATAAGCCCATCGGATTGTGGTTTGAAACGGAATGGATGCGTGTTGAATGAATTGAATAATTTCCACATAACTGAAAATTTTGCCCTTGACACAATGCATGATATAGCAGAAGGTTTGGTACCTACAACTGTGCAGCTAGTATTGAGCTACTATTATAAAAATAAAGAACTCGGAATGAATGTAGAATTTATTAATCATCGTATACATTCTTTTGCCTATGGATATATCGACAAAAAAAATCGACCTTCAGCAAATTTCACAAACGAGATGCTTTCTAAACCCACATCCCACAAACTGAAACAAACAGCTGCGCAAAATATTTTGTTATTAAGGGCGTTTCCTTTTCTATTTGGTCACAAAATTTCCGATGACTGCGAATATATGCACATGATTGGACATTTGATCAACATAACACGAATATTAATGTCCACAATAGTATCGGATCACATGTTGGCATCACTAGAAGAGCATATACGGCTATACGAAGAGTTGTTTTACGCGAAATTCAATCGACGGATAAATAAAAATCATCACCTTGACCATTACATACCATGCATTAAAAAAAGCGGCAACATGAAACAATTCAATTGCCTGGTATTTGAGCAGAAGAATAAGCCTACCAAAAATCAGTCGGCAACGTGCAGGAATTTCAAAAATATTTGCAAAAGCCTCGCTAAACGCCAGAATTTCAAAATGGTCATTGATATCCTTGACAATCCATTCAGGGATAAAATCTCATTCAGTGGAGGTAAAATTGTTCAGCGGGGTCATTGCCGTAGTGAGCCGTTCCTACATGATACTATTCCGCATGTGTTTGTGCCTAAGAGAGTCACAGTTAATGGAATAGAATTCCGATCGAATCTGATAGTGTGCATCAGAAACTACGACAACGAATACTACCCATCATATGGAATCATTGCTGAAATTGTTGTGGTTGATAGCAGTATACATTTATTGTTGAAATTATGCAACACTATAACGTATAACAGATTCTTGGAGGCATACGAAGTAGTATTAGAATCAAGCGAAAAACTGTTTTCCATGGACCAAATTCATTCGCATACAACATTCTTTTTCTGGAGTCCTTATGGAAGTAATCTTAAATTTATATCCAGAAGAAACTATTGCCGTGATTATTGACGAAAAGTAATATCACCTTTAAACATTGCTGCGTAAGTAATTTCTAATTGATAATATTTTTGTTACAGTTCGAGAGGAGATAACGGACCTGGAAACATTTTCACTACTTGACAACGATGATTTCACACGGCTCAAACTTTCTACGAAAATGGTAAAAACCATTCAAAAACTTCAAAAACTGTTGGAAAATGATTTGGTAGTTGAAGAACTGGAAGACCATATTGAAGACATAATCGAAACTCATGCAGATGACGTTGGAACAAACTCGAACGCCGAAAATGATGATCGTTCGTTCAATCTTGAGCAAGTAACGTGTTGTTTGCACTATTAATTTATTTCAATCATTATTGTTATAGTAAATTCCATAGTAATTACATCATATACATCATACTTTTCATAGCACCTGTGTTAAATTTTCACTTAGTTAAAGTTTCGTTTGCGTTATGCGAATATGCGAATAGATAAACAAAATATCACTCTTGTTTCAAGGAAATCAACGTCGATCAAATATTCACAAAAACCCAAACAGGACGAGAGATTCAAGAGTTTTTGGTGGAAGGTTACAAACCAACTGAGAAGGTGTCCAAACAGATCACCCACATCCTCTGCGACTACCTGGTATCTGCTTACGGCGAGTAAGTATGATGAGAAATCCAAAGTTCTTTTCATCCAATGCTTCAGGAGGCCATCTACGTTCTATAAGGAAATGCTAGCTCGATCCTTGGTCAAGACGTATCCAGTACTAGCTTCAACTGCATCTGACATTCCTCACGTAAGTTGCTGGTATTTCACTATATGTACATTATCACTTTTCGTATTATCATAGAAATCTACAAGATAACAAACAAGTTTTATGGTATTGTTTTCTGTGAAACTGACGTAAACATAAAGAAGCCCAGTCGGTGTATCTCAAGCTGAACATTGCATTAGGTCCTAAGTAACATTGATCGATTCTCTTCATCGACTTTCTCTTTCGTTAATAACTTGGGTACAGAACCATTTGTTGTCGTGTTTGTCGTATTAGGAACTATAAAATAGCTTCTTTCATCGATCTGTGAGTTGAAAATAGCAAGGGGTGGGAGGTGACTGTCAAATACGAACAATCAAATAGCTGGTTCCAAACGTAAACAAGCCATAAGAAACCTACAGGGCTTGTTTACGTTTGGAACCAATTTCATACAAAAATGAGCAGTAGGCTGATTGGACATCACGTCCCCCCTCCCCCATGAAAATAGTTGTGAATATTTATACACGGGGAGATGGAAAGAGAAAGTCGACGAAGAGAATCTGTCAATGTTCCTAAAGATTTAATTCATTGTTCAGCTTGAATTCTCTTCTGCGATTTGGCTTTCGTTAATAACTTGACTACAAAATAGTTTCCTCACGTATTTTTCGTATTGGATGCTGGATCATATATATTTTTTTTCATCGAACTGTGTGTCAAAAATATCTGCTGTGAATGAACGAAAACGTGCTTTTGTATTTGTACTATTGCAGGCACTGTGGTTTTACAAAAACGGTCGCGGTAGTGGGCGCCATTCAGGAAAAATTCACTACCGGATGGAGTTCCTTGCCAAGAAATCAGACAAACGGGTATTCCACAGACTCTCCGATGACTGCCAAACATTGCGAGCTTCAGAAGTATCAGAATACGATCAAGACGAAGCAACCATCGATGATCTGGTAAAACAAACAATGAAAAATATTTCTCGAATTTATTGTTATAATGAATCTGTTTCTCACAGGTACTAGAACTGCAATTTGCTGTACCCACGGAACAATCAAAATCAAGAATTATGGATTTATGGAAACAAACGTTGAGATTCCGTAACAACATTCGTGAGGAAGTAACATTTTTGCAGTTCATGAAAGACTTTCCGGTAGCTACAGCGTTTGGAGGAGCATTGGTATATATGGGAATATGGAAGGACTTCTGAATTTATTAATTTATTGTCTTTATGTTTCAGATTTCATTTGACTTTGAGTCAATGAGGCCAAATGCGGCACGGTTCGAGGATGTATGGAATGTTATCCAACCAAAAATTCTGGATCAATACCGAGATGTGTACAGATATATCAAAAACGATATGATCAAGGCGTTAGCCGTAGTTCGTGAAAAAAATCCAACCAGAGGAGCAAAACGACCACGACCGGACAAAGAAAAAGAAGCACGAAAGTTTAATCCGTTGCATGGTATCATCGACTGGATTGATGTGAGTAATTTCTTACGCTGTTTTACAAAACATATAATAATATCGGAAAGAAGCCGAGGGGCATGGAAAATATACATTTAACTTTTGGATTAATGATTAAATTAAATTCCTCAAATGGAAATGCTTGTTTGAATATAAAATCAAATAAAACAAACTCTTCCTATTCATTGACTTTATATTTTTTTTTCTCAAATTTTTTTTTTAGCCGGAGATGGAATTACCTAACACAGAAGATCCGCTTATCATCGTGTCAGCAACATTATTTGAAGATGGTGACTGCAACATTATTTGGAAGGACATCTCAATTCCTGTCGGAAACAATCTACTGGGCGCCTTCACTCTACTGTTGCAAGTTTTTACAGTATTTAATGTAAAATGCTGCCCATCGGACAAGATTTTTTATTCTTTTTTTTATGCATACTGTTTCAAAATCGAAGCATTGAGTACCAATGGCAATAAGTTTGTAAGCCAACTAAATTAATTGATTTTAATTTTATTTTTGATGTGAAATCAGCAAGAACAGAGAAATAAATGATGGTTGATTGAAAAATGCAGTTAAGTTTTCAAATTTATTTGAATTTATTAAGATTTGCTGAAATCTCGGTAGAATTTATATGAGATTGTTTACATTTTTTGCTGAGATTTCAGTTTTACTGTGCCGAGCAATCAGTTTTCTTAAACCGAGATTTTCGGTAAACCGCACAAGCTGTCATTTTTTTCTAAACCGAGATTAACGGCAACAGTTTGTTTGCCGAGCTCATTGCCGAGCACTCGGCTGTGCGGATCTCGGCAAAATAAAACCGAGATTCGGCAAAAAAATCTAAGTGTGTACATGGAAAACCACACAAATACAAGAAATAAAGATCATTTAAATTAAAAAAGTATTGTTTCAATTCGTCAGTGGGTGTGGCGGTTCGCGTTTGTCACATCGTTAGACGTCGTGAACTTGTTTTCGGCAAAGTTGTTCAGATGGACAAGAGAGTAACTTAAAATTGTCTCGTAAACTGAGTAAAATTTTAATCGTTTAGTCAAATTTGAATCAATTTTGAGTTAGTTCAGTTGATGATTCCCTCACCAGGTTGCGTTAGGTGGCAGAGTTTGGCTTATAAATGATTCTGTAGTTTGACATTTCGACTAGATATACTGTTGCGGTCTTGATAAAAGTGATTCATATGGATAAGGTCTATTGGATGATAATCAGTTTCAGTTCAGAAGTTTCCTTCCAGATGGCACTGTTGTGCCATTTTTTAACTTTCTTGATTAACTTGGCATCTCGACTAGAAGGTTGCTGTCTTCAATAACGTTTTTCAAATCAATAAGATCATTTCTTTAGTAGACAGCTCACTTCAGAACTCTCACACTAGGCGGCGCAAGTGTACGATTTGACTTTCAACTATTCTTTTTAAGTCCCATTCGTAAAACACTGCTTAGGTTTGATTTAAAAAATCAGTATGGCAAAAAAGTACTCACTTGAAATATTGTTCATCTAAGAACAATTGAAAGCATCGGTAAGACGGTTAGTAATTGATGTGTCCTCCTTTCGCTTTCAGATACTTTTGCAAGCCTTTTGGCATACTCTCCATGAGGTGCTGCGGATCAAGATTTTCCCAGGCTCGCTCAAGAGCTGCAAAATAGCTGTGCTTATTAGTGATTCCTTTTTTATCGACATGGGCATCGAGAATGGCCCACAAAATTTCAATGGGATTCAAATCCAGGCTCTATGAAGGCCATACCAGGGGCTTAATGCGGCATGAACGGAAGAACGACCTTGTTTTCTTTACTGTATGTTTAGGATCATTGCTTTGCTGGAACACAAACTGGTTTTCCAGACCTGTTTTAATCAAGAAAACCTCAAAATTTTCACGTAGAATGTTGATGTACGTATCTGCTGTCATAATTCCATCGATTTTGATAAAGCTTCCCACTCCAGCCCATGAAAAACATCCCCAAAACATAACGTTATCTCCTCCATGCTTCACCGTGTTTTGGATATATCGTTCCTGAGGCTACTCTCCTACTCTGCGCCATACACGGACACGTCTTTTGTTGTTGAAGAGCTCAAATTTGGACTCATCCGTCCACAGAACCCTTTCCAGTATCCTATCGGCTTATTTGCATGCTCCCGAGCAAATTTCAGTCTTTTGGCTTTATTCACTTTGCTGATGAATGGCAACTTCCGGGCAAACTTACTCTTCAATCCATGTTGTGTGATCCTCCGGCGAATAGTTCGATCGGATACTGGTAGCTCGAGGTTTTCCTGCATTTCCCTGATGTTAACCTCATCGACAAAATCATAAACGGCCAATTTAAATGTGCAGTGATCCGAACTGTCAAAACCATAGGCTTTTTTGATCTAGATAAAAATAATTTGTCCACATTAGATCAGTCATGAACCAATTCATAACTTTTACATGCCGGTTCATGGCTTAGCAAAATATTTCCCACGAACACGGTGCCAGATGTCAGTAGTGTGCTTTGGTCAGAAATTTATTGTTTTTAATATGGTCATTCATGTCGGTTTGTCGGTGTTAATCTTTCGGTTTTTCTTAACTTCCCGCATGATTTTGGTGTCCATTCTTGCATCCGTTTTGCGCTTCCTGTCTCTGCCGAGGTGATCCACTACTGATCCAAACATTTTGTGTTTCAAGCAGATTTACCAACGGCTGCTTTGCTAACACCGTACTTCTCTGCGACGACGCGCTGTGATTCGCCATTTTCCACGTCTCGAATTACTAGTTTACGGATACACAAAGGAATTGATTTCGTTACAATCGTATTTTCCACGATTTGCACAAAAACGACTTCAAAGCAATGTAAAGCTGGGCAGGGTTGCTTCCACTCACTTGCGTTAAAACAATGGTTTTCTAAATTATGAGATCATCAGATGATATAATGATATGTTGTACTTGTAAGTAACAAGAAAAGGGTGTAAAGGATGTGTTTGACTCATAAAACCTGTCAATTTCGCTTTCAGAACATCACAATCGGCGTTCTTATGATTCGCGAGCGTTCACTCTGAGTGAGCGCTCACGAATCGTTAAATCGCTGATTGTGACGCACTGAAAGCAATTTTGACAGGTGTAATGTGTCAAACACATACGTCACGACCTCTTCTTGTAACTTACAAGTACTAATTATCATTATCACATCTAATTCATAATTCGGAAACACAATTTTTTATAGCAAGTGAGTGGAAGTAACCCTGAAGCTGGGTTTAGACTAGGCTACCCAAGTAACAAATCTAGAGCTGCTTGGCTATATTCAAAATTTATAAAGGTTTTATTGCAGTTACAGCCATTATCTACAGCTTTATGACGGTAATATACAATGCAAGTCATGGAACATTCTTATAGCTATCTACAAAACCAACTGATGCTTATGCTATTTTCACTTATGAAAGGTTTTATGATTGCCTTGAAGTATAAAAAAAAGCAATATGAATTGCCCTTATAAAACCAAAGAATAAATCCGTATATTGCTGTATAAGTAAGCGCAATAAAGCTAGTTGGCCATGAAACAGTTATTTCAAAGCAATTATAAGCATTCAGTTGCAACTTGTCAGAAGTGTAAACGGGTGGTTTATTTTTACAACATAGAAAAGAATCAAAACTTTCCGGTACTTCCAAGCGGAGCGCAAAGAAAATCAACAAAATTGTTGGCATGAGCCCGTTTATTTGTTAGTCAGCCGCAAACCTTCGTGAATAACTCCAACCAAGAAAAAAAAAAATGCCGCTACATTTCTGCGGATGTCACAAGGGAAACGGATGTCACAAAGTAAAGAGTGTGCCGTTTTCGCTCGCCTATACATGGGGTAACACTGTCGAATCTTGGTCGAAATACATGGTATGGTGACAGTTCTAGGACAAAAAAGTTGAAATCACGCATAACTTTTCATAAAGGTTAATGTACAATTCAAAACTTTTCCAAATGTTTGTAAAATTTATCAGTTGCACCCGTAGAAGAGGAATATGCATTTGCCCTTAAATAAACAATGAATTGCTCTTGTAAAAAGATAATAGGGCTCGAAATAAAATCATGCACTATGCTTTTCTGTTCTGCTTTCATCCAATGTAAGCATTAGACATTTTAAGAAATTGCGCTTGGTGTTTTTCTTGCCTGCTGTCCTCTGTCGCCATATTGTCATTTCAAAACTTCCATTAGCCTTGGAATAAAATATAAGAAATTTCAATAAAATAATGGCTAAATTGAAGATCCGAAATGATTTTCAGTGTGCATTGGTATGAAATTATTTTTTGAGATCTATTTTATGAAAAATTAAGATGATTCCATTGAATTCATTTGATTTCTGAAACAATCTTGAATTATTTTGGAGGCGCATTTATTTAACGCTCATATTATCCCAATAAACACGATAAAATTTTAAGCGCATAATGTTTTGGACCTTCTTAAAAGTAATATATTTTCTTTAAGATTTTCATTAATGTCGCCATGAAACAAAATTGATTGCATGGTGATCTTGACACCAACACTCAAACCTATTTTCACAGCTAAAGATTTCCTTATGGAATGAAAAAACTTTCAGTAAAACAGAACAACAACAAGATAATTTATGGCGGTAGCTTTGATGCAATAAAAATCAAATTGGATTTATAACTGATTTTTACCAAACCGTAATAAAACTGCTTGGATACAATATTACTATTAAAAAGGCTATGAGAACCTTTTGTAGATTATGGGGCTTTCTTATAAAAGGTTTTAAGACAGCTTTATTGGGATTCTCAAACATGCTTTATAAACCTTATCAAGAGTGGTCCACTAAGCTGGAAGACGATCTTATAGTGGTTATCAAAAGGTTGTGCTGGAGCTATTAATTTTATTGACGGTTTTATAAAATTGGTCTCAAAAACCACTGATAGAGTGCAATAAAACAAGAAATGCTACTTGGAGTCAAATGATCAACTCAGTTGAATTCAATTGGCTTGAAAAGTTGAGCCTGGTTCAATTCAAGTGAGTTGATCGAGTCAGTTGAATGGCACGGCTTACACGTTCAATTTGCATTCAAGTCAGTTGAATCGATATGATTTTTTTATTATTATTATAGTCACTTTAACGCTCTTGGGTCATTCGTGAAACTTTTTGAATTCAGATGTCAAAACATCATCAATCTCCTGATGCGTTTTACTGAAATTTTATGTCATATAATTGTATGACAAATTCAACAACAATTATTTCTATAATATCAAACTGCAATAATTCTGAATACGTAATATGTGTAGTTAATATGGCAGAATCATTATTTAAAGTAATAAAACAACAGTTCCTCTTGTACAGTTGAAGTATTTACGAAGTGTTTATTGAAATAACGAGAGGTGAGCACTTTTATGCTGATGACTGTACATCTAAATGTTACACTCAACAATTTCGTCGCAAATAACCATGTCCAACTTATTTTGATTTCATCCCACTGTGCCCCGTAGTAAACACACGTTAGTCATAACGTCGCTTAGTCATAAGTTTTTT